ACGAGGACATTCGCGAGGAGGTCGCCACATTTATGTTCGAGGCGAGTGTTTCCCCGTGGGAGAACAATACACGGGGAATTCATATTCACCAGATTTTTAATTATTCGTCCCACTATAGTCATCTGGTCTGTATATATTGTTATTACTCTTTTCAACACTTCCATTTATTCGATTATTTCATAACTTACGCTCTCTATGTTTAGTGTAAACAAACTCCTCAATTTAAAATCATTCTTTAAAAAGTATTTTGAGATCATGAGCTATGAGAGTACATTTAGAACCACACCGAATTGAAAAATTACATTAAAAATAATTTAAAATAGTATTTAGAAATGCGGCAATCATTTCTCAAATATTGTATCGAAGGATTAAAATAAATTCTACGAAAAGAGTGAAGTGTTGCAACTAGAACTATGTCTTGATGCAAAATGAGGAATGTAAAACATTATGAGCTTCCAGTCACGAAACAGTATATTATTATAAGAAACATACCTGTTTATTTAAATTAAAACAAATGTTCACTTGCAGGGTCACGATACGACTTCTGCAAGTCTGTGTTGGACGCTTTTCCTTCTCGGGAATTATCCGGAAGTGCAGGTGAGAATAAAGCAACAAATGAAGCTATAACACTCCATCGTTTTTGTAGCGCACGCAACTGCTTAATAAAAGACAAAAAAGTAAATATTTACTATAGTAATTTACTTTTAAGATAGTTTCGTGTGAATTCCCTTAACTTTTTTGTGCAGGAAAAGGTCTTCGAAGAGCAGGCATCAATATTCCAAGATTCTGGTAGGCAGCCCAACACTCAAGATCTGTCTGAGATGAAGTATTTAGAGCGAGTGATTAAGGAGAGCCTTCGACTGTACCCAAGTGTCCCTATAATTTTACGGCATTTAACAGAAGACGTAACAGTCGGTAAATATACACAACTCAAAGCATTTTATTGACATGAATATGAGTAAAACGTTTAAGTCACAAATAAAATATTATCAGCTGCTGAACTGTTCCTATACAATTAGAGACTATATCGAACATCCAAAAGAAAGTAATATTAATTTTAACAATGACATTAAATGTATTATATAACATGTGGATTGTAATTGTAAAGAACCTGTAACACGTATTGTACTTCAGCTTCTGGGTCAATGACCCACATCTCGATCAGGTTTTAATCCCTGTTTCCCTGATCCTCAAGCAAATGCTGATATGGCCCCTTGTTTTGCTTCTGGATACAAATGTAACTTCAAATTAACTTCTCCCCATGGCACGTCACACAGTTGTTAACTGTTTTTGTCGAAAATATATAAAGAAATAAACAAATAAGTTCAGATGCGATTTTTCCGCACTTGACGTGTTCAAGAAATGTAGTTTCATTCAGGCAAGGGACTGCCAAAGACGAGGGAGTGAGAAAATTTTGTAACAATGACATTCACGACAGGAGAAACATACTATTTAAATGAGGTTCAGTAAAACTACACACATTTTTTTCTTATCCCTTAAAGAAAAAATTAAGTGCGCACATAGTGTTTATCATATATCACAAAAACAGTGAATAAATCCATCAAATTGAATTAACATTTTTGAAAGTCCGTAAAATGTCCCACTAAATGAATTTTGATTTAGACGAATGGCGCAAATGGCCCGTGATCAACAGAAAATAAAATTTGCTAGTGGAAGTTTGTCGAGAGTATGCAATACAACATCCGATGTGAGTCGGAAGATGGAGCTGGAAGGGAAGGGAAGGGAAGCATTGATAAGGGATGGGCGGGGTGGGCGACTTGGGAGAGGGAGTGGTTGGGCGTGGTAGATTGAGGAGGTTCAGGGTGGATCTGGTCGGGTGTGTCGGGAGAGGAAGGTGGAAGAATGGTGGTAGCAATGATTATAGCGAACATAGCAAGGGAAAGCTGTGAAGGAATAAGAAAGGGCGACAGAGGAGGGGCACGAGCAAGACAGAACAAAGTGATTGGGAAAGATCAGGGTGAGTTAGGGCACTGCGGCTCATAGCACGACAGACCAGAGGGAAATGCGTTTAATATAATTAATTCCTCATCCTAACAAATAAATTCCCGGGCAACGCGGGGCACTTCAGGTAGTAGAACATACGGTAGGAAACATGTTTTCAAATTTCTCAGAGGTTTATTTCCGTCTGCAATTACAAACACAGTTGCTTGTTTTCGATCTTATTGCTTCAGTTTTTTCACAATATAAATTCAGTGATGGATAATACTTTTTTCAATTCAAGTGATTTTGAAACTTCATTTTCGATTTGACGAAAGCTAATATTCAAACCAATGCACCAATAAACAATCGTTTACTACTTTTTCGTCAATTAATCTATTAGAAAACAAAATTAAGAAAGATTAGTTAAAAATATGTAATAAAAATGTAGTAATCAAACACAATGTGAAGTCAAAATGATAAGAATTTACAAATCTAACGGACGAAATTTCTGTGCACCATATAGTATTCATGTTTTCATAATGAGATACTTTCATAATAATGGAGTACATATATCACACGAGTGACGGGTTAACGAAACTACTCCCACCCAAACACCAATTTGAGCGATTTTTGTGTCCCCAGGCGAGCACACATTTCCAGCGGGATCTCACGCGACTCTGCACATCTACCAGGCGCACCGCAACCCCAAGTACTTCCCTGATCCCGAGAAGTTCAACCCCGACAACTTCCTGCCCGAGCGCGTGCAGGGCCGCCACCCGTACGCCTACGTACCCTTCAGCGCAGGCTCCAGGAACTGCATAGGTAAGTAGGAAAGAATTTCAAGACCTTCACACTTCAAGACGCAATAACATTGTTCGTTCTAAAAATATATTAACGGTTCTGTAAAGAAGTAATTTCAATTCTGGCCAGTTATAAAAATTTGTCATATACGAACAGCACCACTTTGTAGTGGCATTTCCTAAATCCAGCAAGCCGACATTTCAGTAGTTTTCTCATATGAAACATTATAAAAGCGTGACTAATACAAGTCTCAGATATTGGTTGTCCGGTGTTGGTTTATTGGAGATTTGTCGTTGGTGACATTACAAATAAAATAATTAGTGGCGTTGTCTTGAAGAACTGTATTACTTAATGAAAGAGACGTTTTCCAAGGCATAGCCATTCATTGTCCATTACCAGATTCAAAAAGCATAAAATATAAATTCATATAAATCATACCCTCAAACATTTATAAGTTCACCGCTTCTATTTTCACCTCTTAACCTTTTCATTACCAGGGACTCTGGAGACGATTCACAGTGAAGAGATCTCTCCTGAGACTCAAATATGACGCCCGCGTTATCCTTAGGCCCTTCTCGGTCCTGAACTGTGGAAAATACTTGTAAGCCTCGTGTGTACATATGAAACATTATAAAAGCGTGACTAATACAAGTCTCATATATTGGTTGTCCGGTGTTGGTTTATTGGAGATTTGTCGTTGGTGACATTACAAATAAAATAATTAGTGGCGTTGTCTTGAAGAACTGTATTACTTAATGAAAGAGACGTTTTCCAAGGCATAGCCATTCATATGTACGGGCGCGTAGCGCCGCAGTGTCACTACCCTGAGGAAGCCTGCGAAATGTCGGGCGAAACGTCGGCACCCCAGCCAACGACGCGGCGTCTCCCGGATAGCCGAGAATTCTTGTAAGCCTCGGAAAATGTAGCCCTATCACAACGCTTGTACTATGTCCTGGATGTTGGAATTCAATTCTTTAATTACCCACGCACGCAGATTCGAAAGCATTCAAACGTAGTTACCAATCAGGCCAAACATTTTTGGAAGGATTAGAGTATTGATGTGCCATGTAAGAAACCAACAGAACAACACGGTTACCCACAATAACAGTTTATAGAGCATTCAACTACACAAAAATGCCACAATCTAAATGCTAATCAACGCCAGAGTACACTAATCGCCAGAAGTAAAAATGCCATTCCGTAGCCGTTCGCCGAATAATTGGATTGAAAGAGAATAGCGTGCGTGAGCTTGTAATGGTGTTTGTGCTGCAGGGCAAAAATTAGCGCTCCTGGAGAAGAAAAATATGCTGTCTGATGTCGCCAATGAATCCTCTTGTGAATGAATGGATTGCAAGTGAATATTTTGTGAGCTTGCAATGGTGATTGTGCTGTAGGGCAGAGCAAAGTTTGCGCTGCTGGAGGAGAAGGCGGTGCTGTCAGTCGAAGTGCAGGCTCTTGTATGAGCTTGCAATGATATTTGTGCTGCAGGGCAGAAGTTCGCGCTGCTGGAGGAGAAGACGGTGCTGTCGGCCTAACGAATGCTCTTGTGTGAGCTTGCAATGGTTCTTGTGCTGTGCTGCAGGGCAGAAGTTCGCGCTGCAGGAGGAGAAGACGGTGCTGTCGGCCTAATGAATCCTCTTGTGTGAGCTTGTAACGGTGCTTGTGCTGCAGATGGCGCGTCGACGCCCGCACGCGAACCGGCGCAGCCACCGCGACCACCGGGCTTCGTCCTCCAGCAGCGCGAAACCTTCTGCCCCGCAGCCACAGCACAAGAAACCATTGCAAGCTCACACAAGAGGATTCATTAGGCGACAGCCACCGTTTCTCCTCCAGCAGCGCGAACTTCTGCCCTGCAGCAAAAGCATCATTGCAAGCTCATTCAAAAGCGATTCATTAGGCCGGACAGCACCGTCTTCTCCTCAGCAGCGCGAATTCTGCCCGTGCAGCACAAGCACCGTTACAATCTCCACACAAAGAGGATTCATTAGGCGACAGCAACCGTCTTCTCAATCCAGCAGCGCGATCTTCTGCCCTGCCAGCACAAGCACCGTTACAAGCTCACACAAGAAGGAACTCAAAAATAGGCCGACAGCACCGTCTTCTACCTTCCAGCAGCGCGAACTTCTTGCCCTGCAGGCACAACACCGTTACAAGCTTCACACAAGAGATTTCATTAGCCGACAGCACCGTGTTCTCCTCCCAGCAGCGGCGAACTTCTGCCGCCCAGCACAGCACAAGAACCATTGCCCAAGCATCACACAAGAGGATTCGTTAGGCCGACAGCACCGTCTTCTCCTCCAGCAGCGCGAACTTCTTGCCCTGCAGCACAGCACAAGAACCATTGCAAGCTCACACAAGAGGCATTCATTAGGCCGACAGCACCGTCTTTTCCTCCCGAGCAGCGCGAAATTTTGCCCGCAGCACAGCACAAAACCATTGCAAGGCTCACACAAGAGGATTCATTAGGCGACAGCACCGTCTTCTCCTCCAGCCAGCGCGAACTTCTGCCCTGCAGCACAGCACCAAGAACCTATTGCAATGCTCACACAAGAGGATTCATAGGCCGACAGCACCGTCTCTCCTCCAGCAGCACAACTCTATGAACCCTGCACCACAGCACAAGAACCATTGCAAGCTCACACAAGAGGATTCATTAGGCGACAGCACCGTCTTCTCCTCCAGCAGCCGGCGAACTTCTGCCCTGCAGCACAGCACAGAATCGCATTGCAAAGACTCACACAAGAGGATTCATTAGCGCCGACAGCACCGTCTTCTCCTCCAGCAGCGCGAACTTTCTGCCCTGGCAGACAAGCACCGTTACAAGCTCGACAACAAGAGACTCAATAGCCGACAGCACCGTCTTCTCTCCTCCAGCAGCGCGAACTTCTGCCCTTGGCAGCACAGCACCAATGGAAAATCATTGCAAGCTCACACCAAAGATTGTCATTAGCCACAGGCACCGTCTTCTCTCCAGCAAGCGCCCGAACTTCTGTCCTGCAGCACAGCACAAGAACATTGCAACTACATAATATTCACTTGCATCCATTCATTCACAAGAGGATTATTGCGACATCAGACAGCATATTTTTCTTCCTCCAGGAGCGTAATTTTTGCCTGCAGCACAAAACACAATTACAAGCTCACGCACGCTATATCACTTCAATCCAATTATTCGGCGAAACGGCTACGGAAATAGCATTTTTACTTCTGGCGATTAGTGTACTCTATGCGTTGATAGCATAGATTGTGGCATTTTTGTGTAGTGATGCTCTGATAAACTGTTATGTGGGTAACCCTGTTTCTGTTGGTTTCTACATGGCACATCAATACTCTAAATCCTTCCAAAATGTTGGCCTGATCTGGTAACTACGTTTGAATGCTTTCGAATCGCGTGCGTGGGTAATAAAAGAATTGGATTCCGACATCCAGGACATTAGTACAAAGCGTTTGATAGCGGCTTACATTTCGAGGGCTTACAAGAATTCTCGGCTAATCCGGAACCCGCCGGCGTCGTTGGCTGGTTGCCGACGTTTCGCCCCGACATTTCGCAGGCTTCCTCAGGGGGTTGACAGCTGCGGCGCTACGTCGCCCGTACAATATGAATGGCTATGCCTTGGAAAACGTGTCGTTTCATTAGAGTGAATACAGTTCTTCAAGACAACGCCCACTAATTATTTTTATTTGTAATGTCACCACACGACAAAATCTCCCAAATAAACCAACACCGGACAAACCAATACTGAGAACTTGTATTAAGTCACGCTTTTATAAATGTTTCATAGGTACACCACGAGGCTTACAAGTATTTTCCACAGTTCAGGGACGAAGGAAGGCGCCTAAGGATAACGCGGGAATCGTATTTTGAGTCTCAGGAGAGATCTCTTCACTGTGATCGTCTCCAGAGTCCCCTGGTAATGAAAAGGTTAAGAGGTGAAAATAGAAAGCGGTGAACTTATTAAATGTTTAGGGTATGATTTAAATGAATTTAATATTTTATGCTTTGAATCTTGGTAACGGACAATGAATGGGCTATTGCCTTGCGAAAACGTCTCTTTCATTAAGGAATTACAGTTCTTCAAGACAACGCCACTAATATCTTATTTGTTAATGTCAACCAACGACCAAATCTT